GGAGTGAATGAACAGCTCTTTTCCACCTTCAATACCCACGACTTGAGCAAGGCACTGAACCTCCAGTTGTGTCAAGTGTGCCACGCAAATCCTGAAAAGTGAAGCCAAAACTGGAGCAGTACGGCTACTTGAAAGGAGGTTCAGGGGTGTGTGCTTGTGAATGAGTGTGGACGGAGCCTTGATACCGCGGCTCCTCTTTGCTCACTACGGCGCAGACTCATTTCCTGAATCAGAGAAAGATGTCAGTGACATATTGAGACACTGGCAGCTTCGCTTTTCTACAATGCAAGAAAGTGAAGGTGCATCATGATTAATGGACAGAATAGAGGATTATGTGCGAAACTAATCATTCTCTTCACACTCCATCACAGTAGGTGGCAGTATGTACCTATGAAATTGGTTCACAACCTGCCATAAATCCAAAAGAAGAAGAAGAAGAAGAAGAAGGTGCATCATCCATCTTTTTTACAGTCTATCCCTGCGTTCCATTCGGAAGGGCTCATCCCTACGCCCTAATCCCTTCAAAGGTTTTACCCTCCGGAGTGAGAGCTTTGAAGGGTGTAGGGCAGGGCTCGCAAAATTTCTAAATCCCTGGTAGCCCTTCGGGCAGGTACTCTTCAGATTTTGGTAGCCAGAAAATTTATTTAACTAGCCCAAATAAAAAAAGACCTTTTTTTTTTTTTTTTAATATAGAAAATCAGATAGGAGTTTAAATGTCAATCAAAAATATTTTCAATACACAAATATCAACAAATATGAAGGAAGGAATTTTATTTCACTATTTACAGGGTATCTGCAGAATTCTTAAAAATAAATTTAAGGCAGTTTATGACCCATTTTAAGAGCTGCACAAGTAAAATGAACACATCATGAGTGGGGTTGGACAATGTCTATGGTAACATACAGCATTGAGCCATAAAATTGCATGATTTACAGTTCAGATACAGTTTTTCACAAAAACAAAAATCTTATACAACAGCATTTCAGCCTTTAGACCATTTTTATGAAAAGGGATAAATCAAGTATATAATTTGTCAATTTAAAACGTATAAATATTACTGTCTTAATTGTTTAGAGGCACATTAACTTCTTTCTCATTTACAACTCTATGTGTTTGCTGCGTAAAAAAATCATGAGTTTATATTTGCATTGATCTGACCATAAACCGCAAGAAAGGCTTGTTGGAAATGCAAATTAATTCTCTGCCATGAGGTGGCGCTTTAGAAGCGCTGAAATATTGTGGTTTCTCCAGTAACAGCTGTACACAAAGCAGCTCCGTGCTCATAAACGCTGCTTTATGCGGAATTATAGGTAAAATAATAATTAAATGGCCAACAACACGTTTCTGAGGACCGTCGGTTCCCTTCATATACATTCAAATAAAGACATCCGGGCGCCGCATTATGGTTTTGACGTGAAACATGCAGTTTATAATAAATATAAACTCATATTCATTCAATGACATCATTGCCTTTTGAAGTTTCATCCAGCCATAATCTGGATATACTCGCCATACTCGCGACTCTTGTCTTTCCTTCCCCAACTGTAAGACCTCTTGAAATTATAATTAAGACATTTCTTATACCATTTAACGTATTTAAAACTTTTTATGGCCTTAAGTTTGATACAACTCACTTTAGGAGTTTTTAAGGACCCGCGGGAGATCTGCATTTAAGGTAGCCCATGGTGAGTGGTGATACATTTTGGTAGCCCGACTGGAAAACCCTTCATTCCGAAGGGCCCTTTGAAGTGGCCAGTTTTGAGCACTTCGGTTTGGAACGACCCTTCAATATGGCAACCATGATTGTTTTAACTCCAAAGTGCCCTTCGGAGGGCGATATATCCCATTAGGAACGCACCGTTTGGTGTGTGTGCACTTGGATGGGATAAATGCAGAGCACAAATTTCAAGTATTTGTTGAATGATGAATGATGCATTTATATAGCGCTTTATTGTGTATTGTTGTACACCCAACGCGCTTTACAATCATGTGGGGGGGTCTCTCCTCAACCACCACAAGTGTGCAGCATCCACTTGGATGATGTGACGGCAGCCACAGTACAACGGTGCCAGTGCGCTCACCACACACCAGAGAGTGGGCAACCAGTCTTGGGCTGCAGGGTGATATGGCTGTGGCCGTTGTTACTTGGCCACATGTCACGTCACATTCATCTTCATCTGATGCTTGTAAACAACTCTGGACTGCAGTTAAGAGATTTTCCAACAGTATCAAAACACTAACAGTACACGAACACAGTTCAAATGTACCATAACATAGATGTATTATGAATACTTTGATATTTGGTAATCACCATCGTATTAATGTATTACCTCCTGACTGTACCATGGTACTGCCACAACACTCAATATTTTTGTCTAGTTCTGTGTCAAGTAAACTCTTTTACTGGTGATTTGTAACCCAACAGAACTGAAAATGTAAAAATGTTGCTCTCAAAGTCACCAACATTGAACGCTGTTTGAGTGTTTTTAATAGGCCTGCAGCATTTCCTTTCAAAATAAGGGTACCCTGTTTTACATGATGGCCCTACCAGTATTTTAACTTTGTTTACTTCTGTTCCTGGTTATGTGTATTTATAAATCAATAGCATGCTATGGCTATGTTGATTTAAAAGTGTTGGTATTAATTTTCATGTTGTCAATGTATTAGGTTTCAAAAGTATCCACAAGTGCCAAACTGTAAAATCTGTAATGTAATGTTGTCTCAAAAGTAAAAATATACAATGACCCTTGTATTTTAGTATGAAATTTTTTTAATTTGTTTGTGTATTACTGGTTCAAAATGTTATTTGTTGCTTATATTTTAATGTTCATATAAATAAGAATATTAATGAGAATATAAATGACTTGAATTTGTTGGAAGCGACTTTTGTTTGTCGCAAGTGGGGTGGGGTGAAACTAAAGAGATGGAAATATTAAAATTTAAGGAAATTAAATGACATTTGCAAGTGGGGTGGCCAGGCTTTAGTCTGGGTTTAATGGCTGGTTAGTTTCCACCGGGTGTGCCTCACACGTCCTGAAAAGTGAAGCTTCAGGCTTTTTGATAGCCCCCTGCTGGCTGGCTGCAGTACAGGTCATAAACCCGAATGGGACTTGATTCAAAATAAAAAAATAAATTACACTTCCAATACAATTTTCCAAAAGATAGTTTTGGTCATTAAAGGTAGTTGTTATCACGCTGATATATGTTCAATTGTTCGTTTTTGTGATAAGTTTGATTTTAGTTAGTAATTTGATGCTATAAAAACGGGGCGTGGCGTTATGGTTGATTGGGTCTGCGGGAGTTTGGGCGGTAGTTTGATATCCCGACTCCACCTCACGACACTACTGCGCAGACTCTGGCTCCAAACAAATCTCTACTGCGCAGACTCGGGCTCCAAATGACGTCATTTACTCAAGATGGCAGCGGCCATACTGAGATGCTTTGGCTTCACTTTTCTATTGTGGAAGGAATAGGATACGTCCATCTTTTTGACAGTCTATGGTTTCCACATTTAACTGGTAAAGGCCTGAACTAAAACATTATGTGGAAAAAAATAATGTTTCTCCACTGATGGATGTTCAAAAGTAGCAGTGTATTCTGATGAAATAAAAATATTTTGGTTAAAGATCCATCCAGTTATATATATTTGCAAAATACATGTTTTGTTTCTCAGAATGGTGGTGGACTTATTAAAGGGGACATCGGATGCAAAATTCACTTTTACATGGTGTTTGAACTTAAATGTGTGTTGGCAGTGTTGTCCTCAGTACACAAAGACCCTATAATCATAAAAATCCATCCAGTGCTTTTTTTTTAAATCCCCACATATCATAAGCACTTTCTCAGATCAAGCCGTTCACAGATTCTTGGCAAAGTGACGTCACTTTCCACAGGCCCCTCCCACGACTGTTGACGGACACGACCGTTTTATCATAGACCCGCCCTGAGTGAGCTGTAAACAGCCCGCCATTGTTTCGACAACTAAAGGTGTTTTGTTGTTGGATGTAAGAATGAACATAGCAGTCGTCATTTACTCCCAGCATCTGAGCCACTGAAGATGCAGTGGATCACTTTTGTTTTTGAAGGGAGTGCGCCCTCCGATCTACCTAAATGCGTTTATATCTGCACAAATCATTTTACTATAGACTGCTTTCTGAACAAGGAACGATTCAAGGCAGGTTTTGCTAAAAAGTTGAAACTCAAGGATGGATCAGTACCCACTGTTCGTAATCCAGCTGCACCTCCAGAAGTAAGTCCCTCATTTTATATTTTTATGATTATTTGCTAATCGCCTTTCCTCTTTCTCAGAAGAGAGGGGTGGGGTAAGCAGAGCTCATTAGCATTTAAAGAGACATGCACCGAAATGGGTCGCTGTGAACAGAGCTGTTTTTGCCAAGGTAAAAAGGGTGTTGTTTTTCACTACTGAGGAATTTTAACCAAAATATGTTGCAGACATTTCATGAAGACCCTAAAGAACCATACCAACTTGTGGAAAATGGGCATCCGATGTCCCCTTTAAGAAAGAGCATGTCTAAAGATTTAACTGAATCACCCAAGCTTTTATCACAGATTCCTACCACCTACAGCACATAAACATATTTTATGTCATCATCAAGAGAGAAAATTTAATCTGCTTTTATAAGATTTAAACATTGAAATTGTGATATGAGTTGAGCAGTTAGCCAACAACATCATGACTGAATCATTGTGCAATTCTAGAAATTTTTCATCTAAAAACACCAAATCCTTAATCATTAACCAAGAGTAGCTCTATACAAATAAGAAGCACAGAGACCGTAGATGATTTGTTCTTCTCTTTAGCACCACAGAAACAGTCGTCATGGCTTTATTTCAGATCGTCATTTCGATGCATGAGTTATTATGAGTTTGAAACCACATAGAAAAGTTTTTGCAACCACTTTATCATTTGGCATCACATTTTCTAGTTTTATTTACTGACTGCTTAAAGTAAACTAACCTTTTTTTTCCGTTCACAGAGAGTCCTAAAGTGGCATTTACTGCATCCATGTCAGCTACAGAGAGTACAAACCGAGGGCGTTTTAGTACAGAGAACAAGCTCATCTTTGATAAAGTCCTAACCAACATTGGCAATGCATATGACCCAATCACAGGTTGCTGCATATTCAGTTTGACATTTTGTGATTAAAAAAAAAATCATAATTTTTCATAATTGAATTTTTAAACACTGTTTAATTTGTAGTATTGAGATCCTTGCTTTTCTCTGTTGCAGGAGTCTTCACAGCACCTGTTAAAGGTGTGTATTACTTCAGGTACTCAGGCTCCGCGTTTTCCTCCCATGATATGGGTCTGAGCATCTTTAAAGGCACGACACGATTTGTGTCTTCATACGAATATAATTCTGGCGAGAGAAACGACCAAATGGCCAATGGAGCCGTGATGGAGCTGGATGTTGGCGAGGAGGTTCACATGAGGCTGTGGATCAGATCCTGGATCTTTGTGGATCGACGCTACAACTATTCCACTTTCACAGGCTACCTGCTTTACCCACTGGATTCTACTTCTGTATAATTTATCTGTGTGCGTTATTTTGTAAAATTTCAGAAAGAACTGTTTAACAGTGCTGAAAATATATCATGTTTCTTTACTGTGTTAATGTGCATAAATGTAATTAAAAGGTCACTATTTCAGATATACAGACAAAAACCAGAGTTCCCTCTTTACTCTTCTATGGAACATTGATTTTCATTCAGGCACATCACTTGGCTATCCAAATGGGGACTTGTCATAGACTTCTATTGTTTTATATAAAGCTTTTATTTTTTATTTAATTTTTCTCAATTGAATATGTTCCTAGGTGGCAACTTCATGATGGCAGCCTAACAAATCCACACACACAAAACACCAGTCAAATAAATATTCTGGGTTAAATAAAAACTAAGCTTGATTGACAGTATTTGTGACACATAGAAAGTAAGTTTGATCTTCAGTTTGTAAAAATGAAAAACATGTTGACAACAATGCACTTAAATTAATGCACAAAGTAGAAATAAACTATTTTCCTTTGTTTTACTTTATTCTAGGATCAATCTACAAAACAAATATAAAATCTGGCATAAAACTTCAGAGAATTTAATATTTGTCTAACAAATAAAGTGATCAACAAAATTGAAAAGGAGAGATTTTTGATGCCAAATCATTGATAATTTGTTTCCAGGAATGTGTCATTGCTATGTGCATAACTGTGGCATTTCAAAGTGCTTTTATTTAAAAAGGCCTATGTGGAGTTGGGATAATGCCATAATGTCAGTAATATATCCAGACTTTCAATGGGTTGTACATTCCCTTGCAAATCACCTGTTCAAATCATTTCTGAAAACGCCTTTTGCCCCAAGTTGAAATTCAGCTCAGAGTTTCCATCCTCATGTTTTAATTAGAAGATGTTTTTTTTTTTTTTTTTATCTTGTAGATAATGTACAATGCAGTAACTAAGGACACTACATTGTATTCAAGGTATTCACCTCTTATTGTCTAAGATGAGCAGGTATGGGCAGCACACAGGCAGCTATGTATGTGTTTGGGCCTGGTGTTATGCTCATGTTCTCCCAGCGTTCTGTTGCAGGATCATAGCGATGCACTGTTTTGGTATCACTGTAGTCTTCCTGGCAGTAGCCTCCGATTACGTAGACCTTCCCCTCTAAGACCGCTGATGCTGACCCAACATGAGGCACTGGGAATGGTATAATGGCACTCCAGGAGTTGGCCACAGGGTCATAGAACTCACAGGCTAATTGATCTACCAGATGGCCATCAGCATCGCACGAAACCCCTCCCGCCACGTACAGACAGTCACCTAGGGTCTCCATGCAGTGCAGGGCTTTGTCATGTGTCATCTCAGCCATGTAAGTGGATCCTCGCTCTGGGTGGTAAAGGGTCATGGTCGACAGGCTTTGGTACCGGCTGTTAAAGCCTCCCGATAGGAAGATTGTGCCATTCCATACACTGGCCGCATGACAGCATAGAGCTTGGTCTAACGGGCGGACAAAACTGGAGTAGGAGAGAATGAAACAGAAAGGCTTTTCATTTGAACAAAAATATGGTGCCTAATCTGACTATGGTTCCAAAACAAATCAAAGTTTAGGGTAAGGTTGTTTGGGTCTTAAACAACACTCAGACATATGGGTAGTTTTTGGCCAATGATTACTTTCTAGAAACATTGTTCCAATAAAAGCTGATATTGATCATGCATGCTTAGATTCTTCCTGAAATTAAAAAAGCATTTCTTGTGCTATTCATTTACTCTACTACCCTCCAAGAATTTGTGTTGGGGCAGTAAACCTCAACAGTCTGCATATTGACCTCTGAGTCCCTCTCTCCACCAATAGCATATATTTTACCATTTAGGACCACTAGAGTGAAGCTGCCTCTTCTCTCGTGCATATCGGTCAACTTTTGCCAAGTGTTTTGAATGGGATCGTACCTAATTCAAAGATTGAACAAGAGGTCCACAGTATGAGAAGGCAACCCTGGACAAGGTCAAATAGATGAGGCTTCATGTTACGTCTTACCTGTAGGTGCAATTCATGGTATCAGCTTTGCCGTAATAATGCCGTCCGCCAACTACATAAAGCTTGCCCCTCATTACCCCAACTCCATGACTGAATCTTGGTTTCTCAGGTAAAGTTCCCAGCATTCTCCACTCTACTTTCTTCACCAATCCAACATGGTTCTGCAAAGAATTGCTAAACCACATTTCCCTACAGGGTCTACGTTTGTCAAAATTATCAGTGATCCTCTCACCCCCAACCAGGACTAGAGTGTCTTTAGGCATATAGGCCCTGAAATTGGACTGAGCATCTGAAGAACTGGAACAGAACTCCTCAAGGAGAGAATCGTATAGTTTTTTGGCGCCAATTCTCGGCCAAGACATTATGGACTTGACTTCTTTGAACTCCTTAAAGGTCATTAAGGGAAACTGGACAGTTCCCATCAGCTCCCTGGCAAGTTTCACCCGTTGTCTGGGAAAGGCTTCGATCCAAGACATGACAGCTCTGAATACGAGCAACTCTGAGGGAACGCAGAGAGAATCACTTTGAAGGTACTTCTTCAGTTTCTCTACAGGAAGATCTTGGAACTTTGGAGTGACGGACACATCTTTAAAGTTCCTCAAGACATAGTCATTGGCCAGTGCAAGTAAGTCCACCATTCCATAGGACTCTGCGAAAGATGCTACATCCAGGCAGCTGTAAGCATCTATTTCTTGTTGCAGGAAGTTAAGGCATATTGAGAAGGCAGTCTGAAACTGTAATTGAAGAGATGTACAGGTGAGATCAAACACACAGCCCCATCCGAGCGCAAGAGCCCCGCTGTAGGTGTAGTGTAGGAGGGCTTCAAACTTGGCAGCCGTCACTAGCAGCAGAGACACCAATTCCTGTCGGCTCTCCTTCATACCACTTGTAAACATGCCTCTAAAGTAGTCGCTGCTGGCAGCCAGGAGTGCCCGGTGAGCTTCACGAAGGTGGGACATAAATAAAACATTACAAGCAGTTCTGCAAATGCAGAAAGCATAAAATGAATACTTTGAGCTAGAGAAGTATAAATGTATATGATATGGAGACAGCATTTAGCTTCATGCATAGGAAACTCAAACATTTGCCATATTTCCAAGTGTCTTACCATGAAACACTCTTCCTTCCGCTTCAAGCTCCACGTCACATCCCATTCTCTGTGTCCAGAACTGTCTGATATGCTGGAGACTAATTTTCATATGTTCCACAGCAGAAATCTCTTTTCTGTCCACTTTCTTCCCTCTTGCCTCATCTCCTTCTCCCTCTTCCTCCTCTTTGCAGAGTTCCAGAATTCTTGGAGCTTCCAGGCTGACCGCTGCAGACCAAATCTGTTCTATATTTCCTTTGTTCAGAATGCCGATGTTCCCTGTATAGGCGAACTCCACCACTGCTGCTAACCCAGAACCATGAACCTCAGGAGCCAAACACAAGGAGATAAACTGCTCTCGTTTGGGGTTCTGTCTGAGTCTGGTCTGAATAAGGTAACTGATCGCAGCCAAGACAAAGGAATGGACCTGGAACTGGTATCCATCCTCTGTGAAGAGGGTCAAGTCAGTGAGGACCGAATGCAACATCATGTTCTCCAGAGCCTGGAAGACCACACCTGGGTAAGCTGGATCAGAGTATAGCTTCTTGGGATAAATGTCACAATCCTCATCTTCAGAATCTTCAGAACTGCTACTTCCATCATATTCATCATCATCATCATCATCATCATCTTCCTCCTCCTCTAACTCTTGATTTATCAGTTCCTGTTCAGAGCTGGAGTCCGTCATGTGCTGCTCTTTATCTCTAAATGTTAAACCTCCAAATGTTAAGTCTTTTTCAGAAACACCAATGTCATTGGTACTGATGGAGGCAGTAGCAAAACAGTCATTTTCAATATCATTGTTGTATTTATCGTAATCTTTATCAGTGCTTTTATTATTTTGTCCACACACAGCAGCTAAGCTGTCAACATGTGCATAAGTAACAGCTAAATTCTTTATATATTCTTCATTGCCATTAATGTCCACCTGTATATTACATCCACTCTTGTCATCATTGACTTAGAAGGTAAACTATTACTATATTCTTCATCATTATTTTTGTCATCTTTTTTGTCAGCATCCTCTTTATCACTTTTTGTGGATGCAGGAATTAAACCATCACTGTTTGCAGGCATAACAGAAAAACGAATACTAAATTCATCTTCGTCATGTTCATTGGCATCCTCTTCATCACTGGTTGTATCAGTATTTATAATTGCAGGGACTAAACCAACGCTATACTCTTTCTCATCATACTTATCACTATCATCACTAGTATCATTTGTAAACACATCCACTAAGTAATCATTGTTGCTAACAGGAAAACTATTATTGCGTACTGCATCAATATTGTTGTTGTCATATTTTTTTGGCATCCTCTTCATCACTGGCTTTATCATTATTAGTATACATAGCAAAAACGCTGTCACTGTTTGCAGGCATGAAAGGAAAACTAACACTACATCCTTCGTTGTCATCAACATCCTTCTCACTTTCCCGTGCATCTACTTGCAGCTCCTTCGTATCCTTTTCTTCTGTCCGTTCATCTTCCTCTCCTGGATTCTTCTCATCCTCCACTTCTTCACCCGCATCCATCCATCCATTGTCGCTGCTCGAGTTTTCATCCTCTCTTGATCTTCTCCACTCTCTCTGAAGACACTGCTGATCTATTGCCATTGTGTCTTCAGGTTACTGTCAAGAGCAAATCTTCAAAACACTCCCTTCTGTTCAAAAGCCAGGACATGTTCCATCAAATCTGTTTCCTAACTTGTGTTGGATCTCTCTGTTGATGTGGGATCATGTACTGTAGTCTGGTATGCAAAACAGATCAGTGTCTCCTGAGGTCACACAAAACAGAACTCTATTTTTACCTCAAGCATTTAATAAGATCACATCTCAAGTCATCTAAGACAGTCATGCTATGTCTTGTGCTGATTAATAAACAGTTTATTTGTTGCACAACTGTCTACTTATATGTTTAATTGTGTGTACAAAATCAAGTTATTTTTGAGGATGTGCTTTGTCTGATAGTCTGATATCTGATAGTGTTTTCCAAACCCTTTCTTAGCAATTTCCCAGCATGAGAACTGACCCTTCCTACTTTTTTTGTACACTTCTGGTCTAACCAAGCACCATTTTTCCAGTGCATTTTATTGCCAAGAAAAAAAAATGTCTGGCATCCCTTCTCAGATGATGTCTCTTATTCTTCAGCTCCTGTTTCACTTGGTTTGAATAAACAGAAAAGTCAAATAGGCTGTGAAAGCCATTCTGTGTCGACTTTGAGAACATCAAAGCAGAGAATGTCTCCTAAGTCAAAAGTAATGCACCTAATCTGACTCATTAAATGTTACTTTTGGTTTATAGCGTTGAAAACACCTAAAACATCTTGAAAG